AAACTGCTAGGGAAATGTTATTTCTCTCCTTCCTTCACTTTATTTAACACAACATTATTAGAAAACAGTTCAATAGCAGAAAAACAACATGCCATCACCTAAATTGTCTTATAAGGTGTATAGACAGAGACCCTAAGCTACATCTATCTGTGACCTAAAATGCTTGGTCCAAGTTAAACAGCTTAAGGGCAATTCTCATCTGTTTTGTTTGATCTCATCTGTTGACATTTATTTTAAATGTAATTAAACATAGGCTGTGAATTAATCAAAATTGATCACTATTTCCAAAAATGACTGAAAAAATACCAAATAAAACAAAAGTAAATGAATGCCATCCTCCTTGCGATGATGCCCTGGGCAACTGCCATAAAGTCACATCAAGAAATGCTGCTGATCATTCCAATGATCCCAAATAGACTCACATTAGGCCACATGAAAGCAACTGAACCCAAAAATATATTAACCAGTATATAACTGCACTCTCACACAACACGCCTGCAGCAACAGTTAGGACTCCTCCCTCCCTTTGAAAAGCGTTTTTGCTTCTGAGGACATTGTGGCTGTAAAGCCACATGCTAGTAGTCTGGCCCCGGTGTGATCAACCAGTTTCTGCGGAAATGTGACGGCGGAACCAGGGCCAGATTAACACTTTGTTGTACCCTGGGCAACAATATTCAAGGGCTCCATCATCACGACCCAAGGATCACCATAATGTGGTCACATACAGAATATTTTACTGTAATATGCAGTAAATATACTCAATACTTGAATGCCTGACAACACGTAACCCGCCCAGAGTAACCTTTGACCCACCTCGTGTGGACTGACCAATGAGGAGGGGGTCTTAACTCATACTCTTAACTCTTAACTCTCTTCATTGGTCAGTCTGCATGAGACTGACTCTCAACTGACGTTCAGTCGTAGGCAGCGAAGCGTCTCTGTGCAGTGCAAAAGCCCGGGTGGACAGTTTGTTTAATGTAGGGTGATCATATTTCCATTTCCAAACAAGAGGACAGGTGATCTGTGCCTATGACGTCACACTATGGCAACGCCACACAAACCATGTTGGGACCCATTTTTTGTAAGAACTAAATTAATATCAGATTCTGCCAATAAAAGGGCTCTAAAACAACTCATATGTAAATATTTTGCATATTTAATGCAAAATCTAATTTTTCTGCTTTAGTGCTGCAACAAGGTTTTATTAATAATAAATTATTATACCTTTTGTTTTACTACAGCATCGGTAAGCTTCCTGTGCACAGATTATTAAGGATGCTTGTTTCAGCTGTGAGATTAGACGATAGGATCAATGAAAAAATAAGTTGTCACACACTCCATGGAAACTTTCAGAGAATCCACAAATAGTGGCTTTCAAATGGTTTTGTTACTTTTTGCAAGTTTAGAAAAGAAGCAGATGAGACAGCATGTCTGATAATTTAGTTTTTCATCTGATAATATTAGAACATGTCAGTAATGTCTGAGGGGCTTTTATAAACACCATATAACTAACACTACTGGAGAGGGTATGGATTACACAGAGGCTTCTGGGGAGCCCAGTTATTTGGGGGGGGGGGGCATTTTGCCTTGGCCCCCAAAATGTCTTGAAACGGCCCTGGGTGTGTGACTGAGTTTTGAAGGTGATCTGAATTGTATCAGATGTATAAATATGACATGTGTAGAACTTATTGTTTTTTACTGGTAAAAACGTGTAGTGGAGATAAATCTACCTACATTTTACTTTTCAACACTTTGTTTTGTTTTCTTGTTTTTATTTAACTATTTTCCTGTCCTGTATGTCTCTCATCTTCCTGCATCTCCTCATAATTCTCCAGAAAATCTGTTGCCTGGATTCTTACCTTTTCACCTCATCAGTTACTTTTGAGCAGATCAAAGGGATCTCCTGACCGAAAAGCGCAGAGCGCGTTTTCAATGCTGCGTCAGTGAGGTGACATCACCACAGCACAGGTGATGAGCTCCGCAGTAGCGAGCTTCAGGCACAAATAAGACAGAAAATAGAGAACATGTGCGGACATGAACGATCGTATGCTAATTATAGTTTTTTGGTTGCGCCACTTTGAGAATGGACCGTGCGCTGGAAGCAGCTGCCTGGATCGCTGTGCAACAATGTGGAACCGGTTCGCAGCAGCGCAAGTCTGCCGGTACCGGCTCTCCCTCACGCTGATCTGCGGCTCTCCCTCGCGCTGATCTGCGGCTCTCCCTCGCGCTGATCTGACTTACTCTGGTCTGCGCGCAACGGCGGGCTGGAAGGCGGGGCGCTTTTGGAAGAGTTGTGCGACACAATGAATCGATGACGCAATTCGTTGCCAACGCTTTTAGTAATCGATTTTCATCGAATTTATCGATTCGTTGTTGCAGCCCTATTGCAGTACAACATATGCAGTAGCGGTTTTAGGCACGGGCAGACAGGGCAGTTGCCCGGGGCGGCATTTTTTCATGACACAAAAGGGGCGCAAAAGCGCTGAATAAAAAGTAAAAAAGAAAGAAATCTGTGCCGCACCGAGGTTTTCTATTCTGTCATATGACAGTGTCTGGATTGGAAACAGCAAGTTGGCGTCCCCTGCAGCTGCAGGCGCTCCTGCTGACTGAGAGGGTTCAGGTGCACCGTGTGTGTATGAAGAAGAGGAAGGGGAGGGGTGTGGCGGGGGAATTCACCTCTGGGTCTTTCCCAAATGAAATGAGCGGGTAGGGGCTGAATCAACTGTATTAACACGGCTAAAGTCAATCACATCTTGATGTTCTTCCATTTAACGCACATTTCATTCATAATATCATAAACACAGGCCTATCATTCTTTCAGGTTGTTCTGAATTGTGTGAAATGGCCGAATAAAAAAAGGAAAAACAAAACGATTTTGTGGTCACCCCCCCATCAAGGTCAAATAGTTTAGTCCTGACTAAAGGAAACTTATTGAGTCAAGAGCCAAACAGAAGAGATGAACATAAAAAGGCTAAAACCACCAGGTGCCCGATTCAGGGGGAAAAAAAAGAAAAAAAGAGGAGAAAGATAAAGGTATGTACGCTCTCATGATGCATGTTTTCAGTTTTTTGAACCAGTTAACTGGGATTTTAACGGTTAAATTCGGTCAACTAATTGCTAACAGAGCTAATAGGGCTGAAATATTGAAACGAATATTCAAAAGGTTCGAAAAAATTCCTCAAAGGGGGCCTCGCCCGGGGAGTAATTCCATGTAGAACCGCCACTGAACACATGTGTGATCCAGGGCGTAAGGCAAAGCGGGTTAGAAAATAGCATATTTAGCCCCGTTGACTTGCATTCATTCTTTTGTTCTTCTGGGGACCCATGAGCCGACCGGAAAGGGAGGAGACTTAGGCTCCTTATTGTCTTTTGGTGGCTAATCCAGGAACTAGGGGTAGAACACCACTTTCACAGTTAGCCTGCACGTTAAACTCAGACAAATCACATTTTAAAAATAACAAGTAAAATGTTTTTTCAGTGAACCTGGTCTTTCATTTCTGTCAATACTTGTTCGACCACACGTCCATCACACAGACTGCAGATCATCATCAAAACCCAAACGGAAACAACACCAAGGGTCGGTTCCACCTCCACACATTTGAACACCATCCTGTTCCGTTGTTTAACAGCCTCTCATTCAATGAGTCTTTTACATTAGCAGGGTAATGTGACAACACAGAACCAGCTCAGAGTACAGTTACAAGCCTCCTCACCTTTAAATCTCACTACGAAACAAAGACATGACCTCTAATCTCTGAACTATGCTCCAGAAGAGACCTAGAATACCTGATCTGACTCTCTGAAATCAGGCATGCCACAGAAAGATGCTTCAAGAGAGTTAGAAAGTGAACATTATGTTTTATTTGGACAAAATTATGTGAAGACATTTTAGAAGGACTCTGAATTTCCATTAGCTTTCACACTGGGAGCTTTACCTTTTTATCATTTGTGATTTCTATTTTCTTTATTACAGGAGGCTTATTCAATCATTTTAAGTGATCTTTTATTGGTTATTTATCTTACTTTACCTGCAGATAATGTCGTTCAAACTGGGCGGAGTCCAGAAACAGCCAATGACTGGCCAGATCAGTACTAGAGGCTGCTTACTTTAGTAATGTGACCTGCAGCAAGGGCCCTACCTCCGCTCCGGTCCGCCCCCGCCTTCCGCAGCCGCTCACTTCCGAACTCAATGTTTACTGGTACCCGCTCTACAACGGCTCCGCTCCGGTGCGGAGACCTAAGGTGCGCAAACAAGCATGCGCGGGATTTTCGAGATCTTGCGATACAGTCCGAGCAATAAACGCGGAAGTTAGATCCAAACACCCGTTGTGCGGGAGAAGCATCGAAATGAACCGTTTAATCTGCCCATCATTTGTGTTGAGAGATCAGCAGTGTTTGGATCAGGTGTGGATCAACAAAGTGTGACTGTTTTGATAGTGGAAACTGTATTTATGGCTTATTTTTGTGCATTTAAAGTTCAACCGCCATTGATAGTTGTTAAAAGTTGTTAAACCGGTGCACATGAAACAAAAAACGCTTTTTGTTTATCGATTTATTGTGAAAAAACAGAAGTTGTGCTTGCTCCCTTTCCTGTTGGGCGGTTGTGATTTCTGTCCATTGACTGCGGAGGTGCTCCGGCGTCCGGCAAAAATAGAATCGATCCTATTTTTGCCAGATGCCGGAACGGTGGGCGGCGCACTGCACTGCACGGCCGCAGTAGTGGAATAGCTCTGATGGACTACAACCGATTTTGCTGCGGAGTTCGTGGCGGAGCGGAGGTAGTGGAATTTGGGGGTTAGAAATGGCACTTTTTTTAGACAAATTCACATTTTTACTACTTCTTGCACACTTAAAAACCTGGTTAAAGCCTTTTGTGCATACATGTCACCAGCTGTGTGCCCACTAACCAAACTCATATTTGGATGTGTTGCAGAAAAAACGCTGGTGATTTTTTTGGGGGGGGATGAATTAAAACAGCTGTGTTCTCTGCGATGCCATACCTCAGGCCAGTCACCCAAATGTTGGCCACCTCAGCAGAGTTGGCGACCAGGTCCAGGCTTTCATAAACGTCTCCAAAGATGATTGAGAATGCACAGTCCTCTGAAATCTGCTCATAAACTCCACTGGTGCGGAAGGTTTCTGTGTTGCGACCCGTCCGAACCTAGAATTTGTGACCAGAAATAACCTGTTAAAACCCCACAATAAAACCAAATCTTGCTTTCTCTTGCATGAGGTGCAGGCTTTTTAAACATTAATACAGCTCCACTCTCAAAGGCATCAGCGAGGTCATTCACGAGGGTGAAAAGCTGATTGATTTGGAACTTTTTGTCCACACTGACCTCTCGTATTGAGTCGAGAAATATCCGGGCTTTGTCCGACTCTTTCTTAGACGGTTCCCAGCATAGAGCCTGGAGGCCAGCGTCTAGAAGATAATATCGATGGTAAACACGGGAGTTGGGTCGGATTTTCTTCAGCTCACTCCCTTCAACCTGGAAACAGGATAGGAGTAAAGCCATCACCTGTAGAGCTCAGAGCACCTCATCTCAATAACAAGTTGTGGTAAATGTTTGACAAGCCTGACAGCTACCAGACACCATGATGTGTGCTCAGTCTAAATATTTCATTCAGGGGATGCAACACATGGCAGCTGACCCACCATGGAGTGGATGCATCCGGCAGCACTGCTGATCTTCTTCTCTGACAGGCTGCTGCTGAAGGACACGGTCTTCTTTTTCTCCCGACTGGATCGTGAGCCGTCCTTAACAGGAGGGAGACAAAGATGAAAGGATAAACAGAGGAAGGAGGGGGTGGTGTAATAGGGAGATGAAGAATCTGTCAAAAGAGGACAGACAGTCGTCTCTTTGAGGACTATTCCTTGCATGGCAAACATTTTTCCAGTCCTCAAAGGATCAAACACCACATAATACAAATTAGAACCAATACTCAGCAAGGTTTTCGTTCAACTCTGTTATTGTTTTGTCTCAAAGCCACACTTTAAAGCCGTGGCTGCCCTTCACCACCACCATTAATCATACCTGACTAGACAGAGGCAGCAGGCTGAAGCGTTCTACCCCTCCCACGACATCACAGGCAGACTCAATCAGTTTATCTGAGCACAACATCACAGCTCAGCCATTTGATTTATTGACCAATTAGAGGTCACCCACACAAAGAGCCTCGTGCTAACGGATAACAGCCTATAGCATGTGGGCAAAATCTATTCAATTGTACAGATACAACCTAATTAAATGGCTAACAGAGGTCAGTATAAGGTAGGATAGGCAGGATAATCTAATTATTGTTGACTCAGGTAAAGCTAACAAAAATGCACCCACGACTCAACAACGAGTACTTTATATTTTTCTATATAAGCGTTGTTACAAAAAGCATCTTGCTGATCCTCAGAAGAATATTCTTAAGACGGACGAAATAACAGTGAAACTTCTAGAAGGTGAGTGTCCCGTTACATCTGGAGTCAAAGTAACATTAAAACAGTCAGGCATGGTGGTGGTAGTGTAATGGTCTGGGGCATTCATTCAAGGACTCAGCCATCTTGGTTCATAACGGGGAAGGCTGTTGTTGAGAGAGGAGAGAGCAGAGCACGTCTAGGCTAGTAGAAGCTAACCATTAGCATTTGCTACTCCCCAACATGGCACAACTTCTCCAGGCTTATGTTATTTTTGGAAATAAAACATCAACGTTGCAGAGATAACTGAGTCAGTGGTAGAGTCATGTTGCTGTTAGCCAATCAGAGGTGAGAGGTCCGAATATTAGTAAGTAAGACTCCAAATCCTGCCGTCTTCTGCTCCCCTCTTCTCCAGCTAACTTCGACTTCCTGAAACAGGAGCGCCAGAGCTTTTTATCCATACAGAGATCATCTCACAAGGCATTGATTTATGCTAGTGTCTGTTGAAAAACTGAGTGAACTGAGGGTGACCAGATCCCAACTTGCCAAATGTGGGATGGAGACTACTCAATGTGGGACAACGTGAAGTTCCAATGCAATGAGAGAAAAACAAACAAACAAAACGTACATTCTGCCTTTTTACATATTACATATGCATAAAATTATTATTCCTAATATCATCATATATTTCTTATATATATTTTATTTGAATTCACCATGAAGAAGCATACAGCAAAAGCTTTACTATTTCACAGTTCCTCTCAAGTTACGACAACATGACTCTGTAGTGGCTCTGATCATTTTAATAGTATAGATAGGCCCACAATAATAAAAACATGCAGGTTTAAGCAGCTTTTCAGAGTTTTCATTGAATGTTTTCCACAACAGAATGACTGTAAAATTACCAATAATATTTTTTAGATCTATTAATTTTTGTTTTTAATTAATTTTCCACAAAAATCATTTATCATAGAAAAAATATCCATACTTTTTAGCTATTTTTTTCATAATTCAGAAACAAAATTTTTTTAAACATGACAACACATCTCTTCTAATTTTAGATGAGAGAATAAACATCAGATTCTAATCTCTAAAAAAAATCAGATATAATCTAATAATAGTTTCTTAGTTACTTTTTGCCTCAAATGTCTGAGAATAAGTGATCAAAGCTTCCATTTATTCTCATTATTTCTTCACTGTGCTTTCAGAGGCTCAGCATGTACGCAAGTATCTGAAACCGCAGCACCTTGTCTGTGTAAGAGCCACTATTGTGTTCATCATGGACCTGTCTAATTACTGGAAAACCTGCTTTTGACCTCTTCATATCAGACTCTGTTGAGTATCTCTGAACACATTTAATTCATGAGTTTACCGCACTTTCTCCTCCGTGCTCACTCACGCTTGTTTTGGTGGTTCGGGCGGCTCCACACACGCTCCGGATCTGCGTTAAAGTCCCGCCTCCGTTTGATTGACTGCAACAGGCAGATTTTTCCACCGTTTCTTCTATAAGATTGAAACTCGAAAAGGGAAACTTTCAATAATGCGGGACACAAGTCTCAATTTACGGGGCACGTGAAAAGTAATGAAAATGCGGGACATCTGGTCACCCTAAGTGAACTAGCTCTTTAATAAGACTCCTTATTAACCCAAGTGCACTTGGGTCTTTTATGTAAGATGATGAGCGAACCCTCGACATAAAAAGCATGAGATATGAAAGGCTTCAAGAGACGATAGAGATAAAAGACCAGCTGTGCTGTTTCATCTGAAGAATCTGAATGAACACAAGCAGGATAAGATAAGTAATCCGTCAAACACAGAAGAAGAAGCATGATCATTACGAATCCTCTAAAAATCAATTGCCTCCTTTTTCCCTCCCTTTTAAAGGTGAGGTGTTGAGAGAGCAGGAAATGTCTTTTGTCCCTTTGGGTAGGATTGTAGGACAGGGATAGATCAAGCATGTGGACAAGCCAATTCTTCTGGGACAATTAAGGGAAGAGAAAGAGACGTAGGAATTCTGTCATCTTCACCCGTTAGCACATCACCACTTTGAAAGGCTGACTTGTAGATTGATTGGGCTGTGTGCTTAATAAAATCTTGTCATGGTTCAACAACATCTCTAAAATCACGTCAAAATCAAACAGAAAACCCAGAGTCAGGGTTTTTATTTTAAAAACTTGGTACTCGTTGAAATTTTTCTCAGAGGGGTTCAGTTATTTTTTACCACATCTTAAGAGTCAAATGAAGTACAAAGAACTTCAGATAAAAGCGTGGTTCCACCCGTACAGGAGATCACGTCTTTTTCTTTAGTGTTGTTGGAGAAGGTAAATTATGTTAGATTCACTAACAAACTATGAAAAGGGATTTGAATTCTTCCACAAGGGAAGGTTTAAAAGAGCTGCGGAGCACAGGCACCACCCATCTGTCCGACCGCCACCTGCAGCCGAGGAGGAGGAAGTGTCTTGCCCAAGGACACAACGACTGACATGACTGCGGGAGCCTGGATTTGAAAAAGTCAACTCCTGAGGCACCATCGCCTCCAGCAGTGACAGGCTGCTGAGGTGGTTCGGTTCACACCGTCGTCGTGATAATCATCAACAGGGAGGCGGCTTACCTTCGCTGGTCAATAGCCTAAATGACAGAGTTTAAAAGACTCTGCTACTAAAACTGTTTAAAGGATCAGCATACAACTATGTCCCACTAGTTAAGAAACAGCTAAATAAACACTTGAATAAACATCTATTTACTTTACAGAAAACACACATCAGATACAGCTAAATATACATGCACGCACTAAAAAAAAACAAGTTCAGCCTTTTTGCACGACGGTGGGCCGATTTTGTTCTCTCACATAAACTAGATGAGTTTTCAAAACCACCAGTGTGCTTCAAAACAGGAAGCAGCCCATCAGCCCGTCACAGAGAGTTTCCTGTAACTCCACCGACAGCAGAACGAGGGGAGAGAGGGAGGGAGCAGCAACGGTGTGTCAAACCCACATGAATCTAGATTTGGTTTCAGAGTGATCTCAGTATGTGATAAAGAACGTTTTTAGAATACTTTCCACCGGTTCCACAATGTATGTGACTAACTACAGGGCTGTGAGCACACATCTGAAACCAAGTGTTGAAGGAGATCTAAGCCGTCTTTCAACTATTTATAAACAACAGAGATTAAAGGGAATATATTGTGCAAAATTCATCTTTTGCATCTTTTTGTGCTGCCATGTGGGTCTCTAAAGCCTCCATAAACACTCCAAATGTGAATAAAACCCATTCAACCATTTTCTGTCAGTGCACGTTTGCCCCAAATGACCCATTTGTAAAAGTCCCGTCTGTGACGTCACAAAAGGGGTCATTAGCCATGAAAAGGCTCCTCCTGCAGGTACTGAATATAGTAATAAAAATGCTGATATTTCTTTCTGTGTGAGGGATTTTATGCAAAAATCCTCAGAAATGTGTTTTGTATCAACCCCCAACGTCACATTATGAGGGAATTTTAAAAGAGCCAGATCATGCCATTTTAAATCTTAGAGAGCAAATGTAGGCACAACATATGATAAAACATTACAGTTGGCACTACTGAGATGTCATAAGAGTTATTTTTGTCTGCCTGAATTTATATCTGGATCATTTCTGTTGCAAGGCAATGCATGTGTTGGGGTTATTAGGAGCGAACAATTCGTAAGCGTTAACTTACTTTTGGATTCTTCAATAAATTCTGTAAATATGTAAATATTTACTGATTTATTAATTAATTAAGATATTCTTAGATATACGGGGCACCATTCCCCTTTTTCCGGGGAAAAATTGAATCCAAAACTCTTATCAGTCTTTCTTGAAGTTCGTAGAATCCTTGGAGCAGAGACTTCTCTTCGACACAACAAAGCTACTGGACACAAAAATCTGAATTTTATAACATTTAATTAACAATTTGTCAAATGAATAAACAGTGGAATAGATGAATAATAACCGTGTGATATGATTGAAGATGGATGTGTTTGCATGTGATGGAGGATGTATGAATGGGGTCCTTTGTTCTCACAAAGGAGTAGTGTGTATGTGTGTGTGTGTGTGTGTGTGCGTGTGTATGGATTCAAAATGGAGTCTTGAATACAAGATGGCTGACCCCTTTGTCTGGCTAAAGTGTGGGTGGCAACTTGCACTTTAACTTCCAAAGCACTTAGAATCAGTAGTAACTTAACCTTAAATCACTCAAAACATTTCAAAAGATCATGAAACAACACAAAAGATTAATCACAAATTAATATCTTTTAGTTTCAGCCTGGCCATGACAGAAACCATTTTAAGATACCAAACAATGATCAATAAGCAGTTTATTCTTTCAAAATGACCCGA